TTCTTTTTCTACATGGAAATGTCCTTATACTAATGGCTCAACTGTTTGGTAAATCTTGTCAACAGCATCCTAGTGCCAGCTTTGGATCAGCAGCACCTTCAGTAAGAAAGGGAACACAGGAACAGGTTAGGAAGAGCTGTCTGAGAAAGCAAGGTCAGGATAGTGTGCGATGATCAGTGCAAGCAGGCAAATCCATGGAGATGAAGTGGACTAGTGATTGCCAGGGGCTCAGGCATTGGAGAAAAATGGGTAGTGACTTCCAACAGGTGAAGGATTTCTTTTGGGGGTGCTGAAAACGTTCTAACATTAGACAGTGGTGATGGTTGGACAACTCTGTAGATATATTAAAGATTGCTAGTTGTACACTTAAATGAAACAATTTTATGTTATTAAAATTCAATTTCAGTAAAGGCTAGGGCTTTTTTTGTTTTGTTTTATTTTGTTTTCTAGCCTTGAATGGGAAGTAACCAGTGGTGTGGTGCTATGATGGCAGTAGGGGTTGAGAGGGATGCACAATAAATCCTTAGAAATACTATAGAAATACTAGCAAAGGTCTGTATTTCCCAAGGGCATATAAGGTGAAGAAGTAAATTATATTATTGACATTAGCGATCTTGACCCCAAGCTTTGGCTAGCTTGGGGATGCCTGGCTCTTGAGGGCTTTTTCAATTGAGCTCTTTCTCCACTCTGCTTTTCATGGTACCTCATCCCTCTTTCAGTTCCTTAGCTCTCACAAACAGAAAACCACACACAGACACACACACAAGCACACACACATACTCATGGATTGTTCTATAAATAATGCATGTCCTCATCCTGTCTGAGGACAGCTGGAAAGGGTGAAGGATAGCATTTAGGTCTTCATGGACGTGTACAACCAACAAGCACTGGAACTGCCCTCCACCTCTGACACCATCTCCACCATCTCAGTGGTGTCAGACTGAAGGCTTCTCATCAAGAGGCAGAACAGCATAGTGGGGAGATGTACAGGGACTGGAGTGAGACTCTCTGGGTTCACGTCCAATCTCAAGCCTACACACTACTAGCTATGAGACCTGGGGCAAGTTACTCAGTCTCTTCATGCCTCAGTTTACCCATTGTATGATTGAAATAATATTAAAGGCACCTACAGGAATGTCGAGAGAGTGAAATGAATTAAGACATGTAAAACATTTAGGACTGCACTTGCCAAATAGCATGCACGATAATAATAAGCACTGGGAGTTCTTATTTATAGTAGCATTCAATTCACAACATCTTCCAGTCTCCAGTGCATTTGTGAAGCATGAGCTTAGGAATCAATGGAATTATAAATTGATGAGAAAGAGAGTAGATAAAACCAAAGAGTTTTTTTTTAAGACTATGGGTGATACATGCTAGATGGTAAGTGGCCAGAAAATGGGGAGGTACATCTAATCCCTAGGTGGGTACAAGAGACAACAGGGAGCCAGGCTGTGTTGTGAAAATCAAAACCAAAAGGAAATACACAAACAACAACCCTCTTTTGGTCCTCTACTGCACCCTGCCAGATGAGAGTCCTATATTTGTGTTTGTGTCACTTGGGATTCTATGGGTTGCAAGTGGCAGGAATCCCAACTCAAAGTGGCTTCAACAAACAATAACAACAACAAAAGCCTTTGTTTTATGTAACTGACAATCTGAGAGATAGTGCAAACTCAAGGTGACAGTCAGCCTAATGCCAGGGCCAAGCAGGATTTCCAGGACTCAGTCCATCTGTCTCTCTCGCTCCCTCTTCCTTTCCTCCCTCCCCATCTTTGCCTGGTCCACCTCTCTGGTTTGTTTCCTTCCCATTATATCTTTTCCTGGTGGCAAGATGGCAAGAGCACATCTGCCCCGCCCTACTCCATCCTCCCAGATTCAAATCCAGTGAGAACAAAATATGCAACTTAAGTCTTGCCGAAAGTATCCTTGTGTCTCCTTGGCTCTGACCAGGGCCCATGACCATCACTGAATTAATCTTGGAAGCCAAGCGGAGGAAAGGCTTTGATTGAATAGGCTGGAGTCATATCCTGAGGCGGCGTGCGGGGTAGAGTCAACACCATCTGAACCACATGAGCTCAGAATAGAAAGGGGATAGTTTCCCAGGAGAAATTTGGGGTTCCATTTTGCTGGTGGTGTGTCCTGATATTCTGTTATACTCTGTCCTCTCACAGGCTTTCTTCTGACCCCTGCCATTTTAACTCAGAATGGCAGGACAAAGCAGACAGGGTGAAATTATATCCAGAATTAGAAATACTCGCTATGCATGTGAGGGAGAAGCGGCCAGTAGGAAGGCACAGTTTCAGTAGGTACTGTGATGAAGTCCAGCCTGGTGGAGCTAATGTGGTATTTAGAGACCGAGGCCACAGAGGAGTAAGCCAGCAGCCATCACTGGGGGGTTAACAGGAAATTTACAGAGGTTAGCTGGGCAAGGTGGCCTGTGCCTATGATCCCAGCTACTAGGGAGGCTGAGGCAGGAGGATAACTTGAGTTTGATAGTTTGTTGAATCCAGCTTAGCAACATAGAAAAACTCTGTGTCTAAAACAAATTAATTTTTAAAAAGTATAAGTGTCATAGAAGGTAGTTGGAACATGGTAAGAAAAAATCCAAAAGAGGAAGAGACTTATGTCATGTAGAAGTGAAACACCCCAAAAAGAAGGAGGAATTAATGCCATCTACAACTGCCACGGCACACCAGTCCTAATGCGCATTCCCTCTTGCTCACGTTGCACTTGGATTTGACAGTTACCCATGTTCATGTGCACATATCACCACAGCTGAGTGAGGGACTGGCTAACATGTAACAGGGAGTGTGGGAGAGCAGGGGTTACCAGAAAGGCCAGCAGCTGTGGGCACTTTTGTTTCCCTTGGAACCTTCCCTGGGAAAGTCTAGTTTCCCTTCACAACTTCTATTTGGACAGAAATTGAGCAGACATTTCAAAAGTCTTCACCTAGCACTTCTGCTTTCAACTCCAATATGTAAAGAGTGTGGAAGCCGTTAGCCCCATCCTTCCAACAAGGAAAAAGATGAACAAACTGAAAATCAGTGACTTTTCTTGGATTCATCAGAGAACAGAGGTTGGAGGGCAAACTGCCACCCCTGAGAATCCAGATACCTACAGCTAAGACCGCCTTCCCAGGAACTAAAGCCACTGAGGCTGCAAACTGGCAGAAACAAATGGGAGTTTTGATGATCGTCTGGAAGCTGAACATGAACTATCAAAGAAGTGAGAAATTCTTGGGGATCACTGTCTTAAGGGGGGGACCCAACTCACGAGTTTGACCTCCAGCAACCTCACAAGCAATGAAATGAAGAGCTCTCTGTTTATCTGAAGAACTCATGTACTCTAAGTTTGTTGATAAGAAAGGATGAATCTTTTTGCTATAAAAGCAAACTGACTTTTTTAACCAAAAGGGGATTTTCTTTCTTTCTTTCTTTCTTTCTTTCTTTCTTTCTTTCTTTCTTTCTTTCTTTTTTTGAGACAGTCTCACTATGTTACCCTCCATAGAATGCCATAGCATCACAACTTACAGCAACCTCTAACACTTGGGCTTAAGCGATTCTCTTGCTTTAACCTTCTAAGTAGCTGGGACTACAGATGCCTGCCACAACGCCTGGCTATTTTTTGGTTGCAGTTGTCATTGTCGTGTAGCAGGCCCGGCAGGGCTGGACCCCACCAGCTTTGGTGTACGTGGCCTGCACCCTACTCACTGAGCTACAGGCGCTGAGTCAGATTTTAATGAAAAAACAATCATCCTATCCACTTACCTGGCAGTGATACTAACAAAAACCTTACATACTTCTTTCAATCTTTGCTGCTTTTCATTAATTCTTAGCTTCACAGAATTGCAAAAGGACATTGTCCTCTGGCGTGTTGACATTAAAATTAATGCTTATTTTTAAAGTCGTCATTATAACCCTGGTGAACCATTTCCAACTGCAGCATATAAGGGCTCCTACCTCTCAAACGGCTTGTGGAGCTACCTATGCAAGCAATCGATTGCCAGTGACACCAGCAAAGTGGGACAAACCACAATTACACTTGCTCACCCACTAGTGGGGCTAAGCGGATGGAGCTGAAACTTCATTACTGCTTTTGCTTTTTGGAAAGGAAAGAAAAATATAAGATGCTACCATCTAAGAACCTCAGAAATATGCTGGCAAATACATCTTCACTCTCAGAATAATTCTCCTGCCGGGAGGTGACAGAGGGCTTCTCTCTTTTGGTGGAATCTGCTGTTTATTATTAATACTTCTCCAAGTCCATGTTAACTGAAAGCTGGTGTGATGGCTTTCTACCATACCTCAGTGTAATGCGGTATTTTACCTTACTTTGTAACAGCTTCCTCCACTAGAACATATGTGGGGTTTTTTTGGTTTGTTTTTTGTTTTTGAGACAGGGCCTCACTATGTCACCCTTGCTAGCCATGGCGTCACAGCTCACAGCAACCTCCAACTCTTGGGTTTTAAGCGATTCTCTTGCCTGAGCCTCCCGAGCTGGGACTACAGGCACCTGCCACAATGCCCAGTTATTTTTTGGTTGCAGTTGTCATTGTTGTTTAGCAGGCCCAGGCCAGCTTTTGTGCATGTGGCCGGCGCCCTACTCACTGAGCTACAGGTGCCGAGTTAGAACATGAGTTTTTATCTTAAATCAAATTGTCTTCTTAATTTAGGAAATTCTCATGACCTGGCCGCTACATACTAGATATTATACGTCATACATTGAAGGTAAAAGCAAACTACCATAGAACCTCTGTAAGTTGACCACCAAGGGACTGCAACAAACTGGTCAACTTATGGAGGTGGTCAACATAAGGAACTAGGCCTACTGTACTGATACGCACATGTGGTACATGTCCAGTCTATGAAAATTAGGTCAGCTTAAGGAGGTGGTCAAAGTAGGGAAGTGGTCAACGATGGTGGTTCTGCTGTAGTAATACATAGCAACAATAGAACATAAGTGTGTCTAAAATAAATTTGTAACAATGTATCTTTTAATAGACTCATACTTTTATTTTGACAAATTTGAGATAGAAAAATATCATAATGTGAATATAGCAGTTGCTCTTTCTGTAACATGGTTTGGTAACATGGCATAGGGTATGCAGTGTGACTTCCAAAGGATTGTTTCACAGGAGGGTCCCTCTTCTGGCTGGCTTTAGTTAATCCTGAATTATATTTCAGCCATAACACTTGCTTAAAAGAATATTGGACATAGTAAAACTGGTTTTGAAAAAGGTCATGGCATTCAATAATAAATATTACCAAGCAATGAACCAAAACCACTTTTAGAATACATTTTATAATTATGAAAAGCAAACTTTAGATTTCATAATTAAAGCTAAGATCTCATATTTTCAAAATAGCTTTAACATTTTCTACCAATATATAATAGACTATTAGAGCACTTATTTAAAAAAAAAACAAGTAAAGAAAAATTCGAGTAAACGTTTCAGACGACTATAAACAGTAAACATCAATTCAGTATATATATATATGTCACTTCAACAATGCACTCTTTACCAATTGTTGATAAAAACTGTAGTTCTAACTATTAGCAGAAAGTACCCCTGAATCTTTGAACTTAAGTGCCATCATTATTACTCCATCTTTGGAGAGGGTGGTTTAGGGACTCTTGGTACATGCAGATATTTGGTTGTGATTATAATACAAAACAATAAGTGTGCCAGAAGTCTGAAGCAGAAACCTCTGCCTGACTGATTAAGCCACCTCACATTCTTTTGTCTCTATGATGCCTCAGTTAGTCACGCTAAATAATTCACACAGGTGCTAATTTTGTTGCTCTGTCTGTACCTTTCATATGCTTTCTTGGCTTCCCTTTCCCACTCAAAGAATAAAACTGGAAGGCCTCTCATTAAAACATGTTATTTCTAACATATAAAATAAGCGTATGTACATATGTACATACATGCATTTCCTTTTCAAGGACTGGGTAACTCTTCATTCTCTATCAAATAATCCTTCTTCAGGTACTTGGTTCCCCTAACTAACCTCCACACCTCCAGGTAAGCTTCCCTTAACGACCTCTTGCTTCCTTCTTCAGAGCTCCTAGCCACCAGCCGGGCTCCTCCGGGACTGCCCCGCGCCTCTTGCCCACTCTGCGGTGGAGTGGAGCCACCTGCTGCCTCGCCGCCACCTGAGCCATTTCCTCCCTCTCTTGGCAGCTCCTCCATAACAAATGGCATCTGGTCTCCACTTGGCAGCGCCTCCTCTCCTCCGGGCTGGGACTCCAGGTCCTCGTAGTTACTTTGCTTTCTGGTTTCCATGAATTTGGCCACACAGTAAATGATGGAGCCCAGAGTGTTCACCACGACGCCGGCAACGAACAGAGAGGTGGGCTCCACGTCGCTGAAGGCTACCATGCCCACGGTGATGGTGGCAATGCTCTTCACCACGCCTACGAAGCTGGTGGTCACAGCTGAGTTGATATAGGTGCAGTGCAGTGTGGTGAAGTTCATGGCGCAGCCGATCAGGATGCAGGCCACGAAGATGGAGACCATGGCCGGGTCTTTCCAACCCGGGAAGGTCCAGGCCTGGATGGAGTCGGTGCTGGCGAAGGAGCAGATGACCAGTAGTGGGGTGGCGGAGACCGCGATGACATACTGCGCGGTGAGCGGCCCGTGCTCTGTGTCTGCGCTGGCCTTCTGGATGAGCACCAGGTAGGCGGCGTGCACCAGCACCGCTAGCACGCCAGTTACGTACCCGATGGGGTCGCCGGTCAGGTCGCCGGCTCCTGCAGGGCACCAACAGGACAGCCGAGCCAGGGCGGGAAGGAAAAAGAGAGAAGACAGCAGGTTGGCGCGGGTGGGCATCCACTGGAGCGATGCGTCGAGTTGGAAAGTAGAGGGGGTTCACGCCCAGCTCTGCCCACCGAATTCCTGAGTGACTATCCATGTAAAATGCGACAGCTAAGCTCAGTCAATGCAGTCCCGTGTCATGCATAAGAAGAGGCGCCTTTCTGCTATGTCCCCGTGTCACCCCATCTTTCTCCGTCCCCAGACAAAAGCTCTGGAGAGCGCGGATGCCCTCGGGGTAGGTGCTGTGGTTTCTCCGAGTTGGCACCGAGGTCTCCCAAGCTAGCGGTACCTCTACCCTGTCTCTGTACCTTGGAGCTACTTTAGAGAGAGGGAGCCCCAGGTGGGACCCTCTAACCCGGAGCGGGCCAGGCAGGGCCCCAAAGAAGGTTTCCCGCTGCCCCGGGCGCTCTTCTCATTCAGTCTGTCCCGCCCCACCCGCACCTATATCCCAGACCAGTCCATCCGCCTCCTGCCCGCAGCCCCCGGGGTGGCGCCAGACACCCCAGAATAGCCCCGGGAGCCCGAGCTTCGCCCCCCATCCCCCACCACCATTCCAGCCCCTGGTGACCCAAGGAAGTTCACGGCCCCCCTCCTTCCGGCTCGGCCCAGGCTTAGAGGACTCCAGCTGTCAGACTCTGGCGGCCCTCCCACCTCTCCCAGAGGAAGGGGCGAGGGGGCAAGACCGAGGTTGGGGCTGCTGGCAGGGCAATATGAGGTGGAGCAGGGGCGGGGGTCGGAAGTCAGGACACTGCGGGGGGATGGGGGAGTCTCAGGCAGGAGGCTGGAGCAGCGGGGAAGGCTCTGCAGTGTCTCGGAAGTCCCTTTCCCGAGCTGAGCGACCACTCTTAAAGCTCTCCTCCTCTCTCTGCCTCAGTCTCCCCATCTGAAAGTGAGGACGCTGCACTAAGTGATCCTAGCGGCCTCTGCCCGGTGGGGTGGGGTCGAGCTGGGCTAGGGGTCGGCGCGGGGACCGCTCACCTGCCAGGGCGGCGCCGCAGGTGGTGATGAGCACGGCCGCGAGCACCCCTGGCGAGGGCGCGCCGTTCTTGAGCACCAGGACTCCGATGAGCATGGTGACCAGGGGCAGGCAGCGCTTGAAGACCACGTACATAGGCAGGCTGAGGCCGCGCAGGGACCAGAGGGTGAGGCTGGACTGCAGCGTGGAGAGCACTGCGACCCCCGCGAAGGAGCGCGCCAGGCTCAGGCCGAAGGGGGGCACGGCGACCAGCCCGAGGCGCCGCAGCAGCTCCAGGCTCAGCGCCGCGGTGGAGCTGGTCAGGCACTGCACCAGGGTCAGGAAGGAGAACTGGTAGCGGCTGATGAGGAACTTGAGCAGGATGTTGAGGGAGCCCGAGAAGACGCCGTGCGCGATGGCCACCGAGATGCCCAGCACGCGGCCCCGGCACAGCTGCCGCATCGCGCCGGCCGCGCAGCACCCGGCGGTGGCTGAGCTCCGCGCCCTGCGGGAGGCGGGAGGGAGAAGCGCTGCGAGGGCGGCGGGGGCGCCGGCCCAGCGCCTAGGCGAAGGGCAGGGGACGCCGGCTGGGCTGCAGGGGGCAGCTCCAGCCAGGCGTCCTCGCGCTTCAGCGACTCCGCGTCCGACTGCCCCGCAGCTCCCGGGAGGCAGTGACGAGGGCGGGGGACTCCGAAAAGTGGCAAGGGGGGGCAGCTGGTGTGAGAGGAGTGGCGGGAATCCTAGCGACAGCGATTTCTAAGTAGGTGACGAGCCGTGACGGGTGGTGTCCCGCGCGGCTTCACCGTCAGGGAACATGCGGTGCGGAGGGAAGCCCCACGGCGCAGCAGGGGGAACCCGCCCGCATTCCCTTGGGCATGCAGCGCCCACCGGGCGGGCTCTCGGGGCACGACCCGGTCTCCTCCCACACAGCAGCAGCTAGCACTTGCCCCTTCCTCTTGGACGAGGGGCTTGGGTGAGGGGATCCGGGCACAGCTAAAGATTTTAGAAACAGCAGCGCTCCAGCATCCAGCACTGTTTACTGGTCTCAACAAGTGACGGCGCCCCCAGCCCTGTTTCCTTCGCGCTGCAGCGGCTTTTCCTTTCCACCCACGGGGCCTCCGGTACAGCAGTGGGACTTCGTCCAGCTGCCCGCTAGGGGGGCGAAAACCGTCGGTGCCGGCGGCGGCGGGGCCCCTGAAGCTTGGGATCTGGTACTGAAGGAACCCAGGGCCCCAGAAGCTGCCCCTTCTGGCTGCGAGCAACGTGCACCCCTGTCCGCTCGCCTTCCAGGGAGGGTCTAGGGATTAGGCGGGCGGCGGAGCCTGGAAGCAGGGGAAACACACTTTCCAAGGGAGGCAAAGATGTAAAGCAAAAGAGCCAGAAACGAAGTCACTGGTGCGAGTAGCCACTACGAGTTCCGGAGAAGCGCGGGGATGAAGCTTTCTGAGGGGCGGGAAGGGAGGGCCAGGCTGAGTCCGGAGTGGGGGAAGGGGCGAGGGGGAGGGGTAGGAACTCGGGGCCTTCGCCCAGCCTGGAGGCTCCGTGTAGCGTTCTCTGGATCCCGGGAAACTCATCCGTCCGTGGGACAGTGAGGGCTGCCTGGGGAGCAGGACAACCCGGGTACGCCCTCCCCACGCCAGGGTATGCCTTCCCGCCGCGGGACTTGTGAATTGTGTGCTTCCCTATGGCTAAGAGAAAAAGAAGATACTTTTTTTTTTTTTCAGGCACAAGACTTTAGTGACTCGGGTGAGAATTCAGTTCTCTGGGAAGTATTAATAACACCCAGCCCCATAGTTGAATCAGCAGCAGCAAAGGGATTCGCTCACCGCAGGTGTTTTCGCGCTACTTGAAATTTACGGCCTGGGCAGGGTTTGGCTGGGAGGAGAGAGACCTTTAGTTCACCGCCAGCCCAGCAGTTCGCTGCTCTCCCGCGCGGGCCTCGCCACCTCCTAACCTTTCAGCGAGGCACCACATTGCCTTAACACGCAGGATCCACTTCTCTCGCGATTTTTCTGAGGTTTTGCCTCTTCCACCTCTGCGCTGAACACACTTCATCTCAGGTGCTGAAATTGTGATCATTATTACTGCAGCAGAAAAAACACAGCAGGGATCGACATTATCACTGCAGCGCTTCATTTGGGCCAGCTTTTTGTGTTGTGAGTGCTCAACTTTGCTGGGAAAGAGGTGGGTCGCAACCAGTCGCCAGCTTACGAGTGAGCGCCTAGTAGGGCCACCTCCCTGCTGCTGACGGGTGGGCACTGAAGAAAATGTTGGTGATTGGCCCACTGTGCCAACTTTCCAGGAATGACCCTGGAAAGCAATACTCTGAAAACACGTGCTTCCGGTTCCCTGGGGAGCTATTGGTTTTTGTTGCTAAAAGTTGTGGTTTACACCCTAGGAACTGTTTAAGGGGCTATTTTTTCAAGAGTTGATGTTATTTCCTTAGGAAATACTGGGGTCTGAGCAGCAGTTTAAATTGTGTGCATGTGTGTGGTGTACGTTTATACGCAAAATATATTCAGATTGTAAACTTTGAAAATTAACTTTTTAAATACATCAGCAAATTACAGATTTCTGCTTCTAGGGACCATTCCAATTAGAAGATGGCTGCTTCAAGCCATCTTAAGTGAATATTATAAAGAAGTGGCTGCAAGACCTACTTTTGGAATGATTCATTTCTGCCCGCAATTATAATTGCTTCCATTTGTGATACTAACATTAGGTAAAAGATTTGGGGCTGATTCAGCTATCTTACCTTCTCGTTTAGGAAAGACAATTTAGCTTAATATTTGAAACCCACGGTGACATAAAACAGCACATTTTCACCGCTTTATTGTAGATAATTCTTTTCTATTAGGGCTTTGAAAAAAAAAGAAATCTTAACCCCATCTCCCACAAAACCAGTTACTACAGAAAACTGGGGGAAAAAATACTATGTTTAGCAAGGTTAATTGAACAAGAAGGTAGATCTGAACATCAAATAGCTGTTTGACTATAAAGTACCAAGATATTCAAGGTTATTATCTCTGGCATTAAATAAGTCCTTTAGTTTATTAATTCAACAAACATATAGACTTAGTACTTTGTGCTAGGTAGTCAGGACCTCAAGCCACAGAGGATTCACAGGTGGGAGTGAGGAAACACAATGAAGTGACTACCAATACAATAGCAGGATCACTTGGCAGGAAAATAGGAGTGCCCAGGAGGGCAAGTAAAACAAGTTGGGGGAACAGAGGCTTCCTGAGAAGGAAATTTGGTCTTTTTGAAATGTTTACTTACTTCATTATTTTTATTTATTTATTTATTTTTGAGACAGAGTCTCACTATGTTGCCCTTGGTAGAGTGCCGTGGCGTCACAGCTCACAGCAACCTCAAACTCTTGGGCTTAAGTGATTCTCTTGCCTCAGCCTCCCCAGTAGCTGGGACTACAGGTGCCCACCACAAAGCCTGGCTATTTTTTGTTACAGTTGCCATTGTTGTTTAGCTGGCTCGGGCTGGGTTCTAGCCTACCACCCTTGGTGCATGTGGCCAGCACGGTAACCACTGTGCTACAGGCATAACACGTGATTGTAGTATATGAAAGGAAAATAAACTTTGTATATAAGTGAACAAGCTATTTTTATAGTTCACCATCTCCAATCATACTACACAGAGCTCGCAATTGTTTGCTGTACAACTTTCTCTTTTTTGTGTATATATTTATACATAAACTCCCCCCTTTCAAAACATAAAATAGGGTATCATACACGTTATCTATACTTTTCTACTTCAAAATGCATATTGTGATAATCAGCCTTCGAGATACTCCCTACTGACCTCTGCTTCCTGGAACAAAATCAGTGCCACGGCTTGTGGGAAACCCAGGTGGGGAAGGCAGGAGGTACAGATATGGGGGTATTCAGTATATATATGAAAGTAAAAATCCTTTAACTGGTTTAGCACATCTAAGGAGAGGCCTGTTAAGAAATTTAATGAAAGTTCAATTTTGGAAGAGGCAAATTATTGCTAAGATATACAGTTAAGAAGTGCCAGCCAAAGGCAGAAGGGACAGCTGGCTCTCAGCCCGGATCTCCCTGGGCATAGTCATCCCAGACTCGGGGTCAGCTTCTTAGTTCTTTAGACTCAGAAACTCAGTTTTGTAATTTTCTCAGGAATGATCAGGATCTAATAACTGGAGATCCAAGTCTTTTCTCAGTGGGCCACTTTCTGTTATTCCTAAGAAAAAGAGGCTGTGTAGCAAGACCATAGGTTTGGATTCAGCCATTTCAGATTTCAAATTCCAGTTTCATTTCTTCCGGGTTATCATGACTCCTGAGGATCTTAGCTTCTTTGTCTGGAAAAAGGGAGGGTTATAAAGATTAAATGGGATAATATATATAAACATTTCTGGCCAGGCGTGGTGGCCAGCACTCTGGGAGGTCAAGGTAGGTAGATCACCTGAGCTCAGTTCAAGATCATCCTGAGCAAGAGCAAGACCCTGTCTCTACTAAATTTAGAAAAAACTAGCTGAGCACTATAGTGGGTGCCTGTAGTCTCAGCTACTTTGGAGACTGAGGCAAGGGGATTACTTGAGCCCAAGAGTTTGAGGTTGCTGTGAGTTAGGACATCATGACACTCACATAGTGCCCCCATCCCAGATCAGCAATTTTGTGTCCCCTCTTCCTTCACCCACTCCTTAGTGCTATTCTGTCACTGTAGGTGCCTAGGGAGGGGCAGACAGGATGAAAGCTAAGAGCTCAGCAGCCAGGGGACAAATGCTAATTTCCTAACCTGGAAAGAATAACTGGTTGTCCAAAGTCGAGAAGCTTCTTAGCTTGTGAGCTACCAAGAACTCAAATATCTCACACATTCTCTTTCAGGAGAGAATCCAGCTTTGCTCTTTATAGTTTTCCAATTCTACCTCAAGGAACCAACTTGATGACTCTCACATGGATAAATCCCAGAACCTGAGTTAATATATTACAAAGTCAACATTCTAAACATCCCTGAAATGGAGGGGAAAAAATAAATCAGGAGAGATGATAGTTCTTAAATCAGTTTTTGTTTCAAAAGACACATGGTAGATTATTTTGTTAATAAAATCTCCTGCATTCTAAAGAGAAAATAAATAATTTCATTTCATTGTTAAATATGGTCTGGTTTTTAAAGGTCTATCATAACTTCTGCAGATACAGAGAACACCCACTGTGGACCCACTTTTATTGACCTGTATCTTGGTGTGATACCATTAGATTATATGGAGGAAAGTAACAACAAAAAGCTCTATGAAACTAATCATTATGACAATTCTAAAGCTGTATCTGAGCACCTTGTTCATTATAATGCACTTATGTTAAGCAGTGTCCTCTGTAGGGAGCCTCTCAAAAACAATTAGTATTGCTGATCTAAGAACCAAAATGAGTTGTACTTTCCCTGAGATCATTCATTCATTTAATAAATATTTATTGAGCACTTTCTGTATGTCAGGACTGGTTCTAGGGCCAAGCCTGGCACTAGGCCAGAGTCTATTTCCTCCAGACCATAGGCACTGAATCATGTAACTGACCAACTTTCCCATTTATGAGGCTAGAAATCTTTGTAGCAAATATTCAGCCCTTGGCTCGGAGCCTGTAGCTCAGCAGCAAGGGCGCCAGCCATATACAGGAGGGCTAGTAGGTTTGAACCGGCCTGGGCCTGTCAAACAACAATGACAA